GTTGGTTTTGTCGTGACACGGCTCATTTTTTGTGGCAAAGTATGAGGACAATACAGCAGGATCTTAGTAATGTTATGATTAAAGGTGTAAGCTTTGCGGACAACAACAGGAACACTGCCATGACTGCAACAATAGTGAATACCTCTATTTCTTTTTTCGTAAAAAAAAATTCTAATTAAAAAATTCAAACAAGGTAAAGTAGTGATTCTCTGGCACTGTAATTCTTCAAAATGGTCTCTATCAATGTGTGATGTTTTTATCAGGGGACATCTCTGGCAGAGTGGTTATGGTTGTTGACTTCAAACCACTAGCCCCTTACCACTGTGGATACGAATCCTGACAGGAACTTTAGATTCTTTCATGTAATGAAGATGTAATAGCTAGCTTAAGGAATGTCAGTGGCTCTACTCGGGTTCCAGTCTGGACCAGAAATAATGCTAGTAGTAGTGCTTATGATTATGTTTCAAATAACAAATGATACATATGTACTTCAATTGTGTCAAACAAAGTGTGTCCTAACCCTAGACATAAGTGTTCAGGGTAAACACAGCAATATCAGATGAATTTATTGGTTTGTCGCAACTGTTAAGGCAGTCTGATGACAGCTACAATAGCTTCAATTAGTTTATCTTTACATATTTTCAAAATATGCTTTACCTGGTATACAACTATAATTGTTTCTTATGTAAAACTGAATGAAGCTAATAATTGTTTAATATAATAACAAGAGCTGTCACAGGAGACAGCCAAGCTCGGACTAATAAAATAAGGAGGACAAAACTATGAAAAGAACAAGAGCGATCAGTAATCACATGTGTCGCCTAATGATGGCCAATTTCATGTTGGGACGAATTTTTGTGACAGACTGACAAACAGACGGACAGTGCACAACTAGACTTGGTACTGATCATTTCTGTAAAATTGGATAAAATTGCACCAGTAGTCTGGACAAGCTTTGGCGTATTCTGGCAACTCACAGAAAAAAAACACCTTTTATCAAAGGGCCATAACTCGGCCAAAAATCATTCAACCAGAAACCCGTGCAATATATGCGCAAGGACTTGAGATACAATTCAAATCTTGTAAAGTTTCACTGAAATTGCATTAGTGTATAAGAGAAGTTGTCCGGACAAACTTTTTAAAATTAAAAATTATTAAAGGGCCATAACTCTGACAAAAAATCATTGAACCGGAAATGCTGACAATATGCACAACTAGACTTGTACTGATCATTCCTGTAAATTTTGGATGAAATTTGCACCAGTAGTTTATGAGGATTATCCGGACAAGTTTTGTGACGGATGGACAGACAAACGGAGAAGTTATCCCTATATGTCGCCTATATGGCGACACAAAAATTCAATTATGTACAATCATGTATTAAGTTATAGTAAAAAAAAACATTTGTTAACATAAATTTCAAAAATCAAGGGGAATAATTCTAGAAATAGTCACGCTAGAGTTATGAACCTTGTCCACACAATATGTGTGTAATGATAAGAAATATATATTTGAAGTAGATACCTTAAAAAAGTAAAGAAGTTATAATATTTCTTAACGAAAAAATTCTAAGTTCAAAAGAGAGATAAATCTGTAAATATTGTTATGAGCATAATGTCACATAAAAATAAGGAATAAATAATTTGAATGTTGAGGTAGATACCTTTAAAACTAAAAAAGTCATAGTAAAAAATAACATTTTTCTAGTAAAAAAAAAAGTAGATAAGGTACATATATTTGAAGTATGAAGTTGATCCCTTTAGAAATAAATAAGTATCAGTAAAAATAATATTTTTAAGGAAAATTCTAAGTTCAAGGGGATATAAATCTGAAAATATTGGTGCAAGAGATATATACTGTAAATACGAGTATACGTGCACATTCGATTTGTTGTATTTAAATTATCATACCGGATATACAACTATATACTTACCAATGGTAATTAATATGAGCTTCAAATATGAAAACGTATATTATTGGACCTTGCAGATCATAAGTGTTGTGGTTGTGTTATTTTAGCTCCTTTGATCTTTTTATAGTCGAATGGTTCAAGTATTCCTATATTTGATTACTATTATCTTTGTTATAATAGAAATTGTCTATATCATAATTTAGTTATCTTTGATCTGCGTCGTCTTTTTATCATTTAAGAGAAAATTACAAGTAATGTTGTTGCAAAGGTTTCCATATTGTATTTATTGTCTGTTTGTTAACAAAACATACATTATGTTGACAGATTCAGCAACACATGCTTATCTAATACATTGGGCATCAAGTGCCGATTAAAATAAAGATATATTTGTTGGGTTTGAAACAACCCTTACATAAGATATGATAAACAAGATCAACAAGGAAAGGCGGCGTTCAATGAACGCAACCCCCATATGACCCAGCAACAAGAACCAACGGCAAGGAGCCCAGGCGGACCCCAAACAAAAACAGGACAGGGCAAAGACAGAGCACGGACAGGTTAATCATTAAATGATAAATAATTTGTAACTGATTAGGAATTCAAAGAAAATAATAATAGGCCCACAAAGGGGAAGGGAACAGGATACCGGGGGAAGGGGAGGGGGTAATCAAAGAAATAAAAACTAGAGGCAATGGGGAAGATACTTACCGTAGACGAGAAAACAACAAGGGACACAAGCAAAAGTGTCACCAAAACAGTATGAAACAACATAGACATACATCTGAGGAACACAGTGGGGCGCATAAGGTCACAAGTGGACTCGATCTCGACACGACTTTTCAGTCATCAAATGTACATGAAAGTGCCGACATATGCTTCAATAGCAAAAAAAATTCATATTACTTTCGACATATCAATGACAAGTATTCGAATTTTACATGTTATGTAATGAAATCGTATGAAAGTCTGTTTCTGTCACAATTTGAAAATAGCAACAGTGGGTGAGGTATCATTTGGGAATATCTAAGTTATTATCTTATCTGTGCAACCATCTTCTACTGTTCCAGGTTTCCCATAGCTCTTACCTGGTCCAATACAATTTGTCTAACGAGAAACGTACATATTTCCTATTTAATATATTCGAAGATTATAACTACCTTCCATGGCTATCAATGAAAGGGTAGGCGAATACAAGGGCATGGTTAAAACTATATACAAAACAATTCGTCAATTGTCCCATTGTAATAGATCATATCTTCAGTTATTTCAGGTACTTTTTTTCATTACAACCTGAATCACATACAATTCTGACATTGTATAACATTTGCACAAATTATCTGCTTTAAATTCTAGATATTTTGAACTTTTAATGAAATTATCGTTTTCTCATAAACCTCGCGTAAATGACTTACATTTTCTAAAAGAAAGTTCGTCATCAAACTGACATAATTTATTACTCGATTACGTTGAACGATATTAGAACGAACATTGAAATGTTAAACTTTATAAAAATCTTTTTTCTGACATTTTTAGGAAGTTATCAATATTATCAATTCATCATATAAATTAGGCGGAACTTACTTTGTATTTTTTGTTAAATTTTTTTTCTTTCTACGCGAGAATCTCATGATCTGTTTTTCTCTATTTCATTTTTCAAATAAGAGACTCCATTATCTGGCATTGGTAACATAATTCTTATTTCTCTAATTCTAGTTGTTGAACACTATGTAAATTACGTAGAAAAATAACAATGCACTTAAACTCATTTAAAATGTGATACTCGTTAATACAAATTAAAAAATAACAGAAAAATAAATGAAACATCACTCGCGAACCTTGCCTATATTGATTTTATCCTTAAATTTAGAAACGTTTATAAATAATTCAGTGTTTTCAGTAAAACCAGGTTGTTTTTTTCTTTGCTTGTGTCATTATGCACGCTGCCTACTAAAATTCTAAAATAACATTTCCTCGTAACATTCTAAATCCAGCCTATATTAACGAGCAAAAAGTAAACGTACATATTATTTATTTCAGTGTACTCTAATTTTTGTATAGCTGTATTTAGCAGTAAGGTAGAGATAATATTTGGTGCTTTGACATTATCTTTTGGCAATTTGATTCTACGTGTATATCATTTTTTACTTATATACATTAAAACTTACATTCGATAGGCGGATTTGTCCCTTTAAGATTTTTGTTTAAAAGTAATGTTTTATGAATTAAAATAGTCATGTTTTGTATTAACTGATACATATAAGATAGCATATTTTAATTTTATGTTAATGAGAAATATCACAAAACCATCATCAAAACGTTTTCTAAAAAAATCTTGCAAATGGTTGGTGTCCCTCTGCTAAGCTTGAATTACTCTGGAAGTAAGATTACGGTGCGTGGGAGTCCTTTCCGCTGAAGAAGTTCACTTTATTTAAATGGATCAAAACTGCTGTTCACACTGCCACAAATATCTAAAAGGTAAGGCGACAATCAATGACCATAGTCCCAAATAACAGGCCATGAAATATGAAATTTGACTGAATTTGACTTAATTATAAGCCTAAAAGGACTTTTTTCTACCCATTTTCAAATTTAAAAGTACTTAAAGCACACGAAACAAACTTCACACATGTGTATAAAATCTGGAAACAAAGTGATCCCTCGGAAGCATTAATCACAACAAAATTACATGAAAATTGCCGACTCGGTTTGATTGAGTCTGTCTATAATTCAACATTTTGGTCAATGTCCAAGAATTGCACGAGTAATAACCGAATTATATAGCATTTTGTGAACTTAGAAACAATCCTGGTACTTTTTAGAACATATTGCTTTATTGTGGAATATTCTACGTCTTTGCAGCCTACATACAACCTAATCGCCAATGTCATAGAGTTGGCCATGTTTAACATTAAAGATCGTTCACATCTTTGAAATATGATAAGAGTGCTAGATATGACTGCAATAGTGATGGTGATGATGACGATGATGATGACGATGATGATGACGGTGAAGATAATAATCTGATGACAATAGTTATAATAATGATAATAATAATAATGACAACATTGATAATTCGACGACTTTGATATATATGATTTTCTTTTGTATTTTTATATTCTAAACCAACCGAGAAAAACAGACATAAATGCGCACATAATTCTATTTTCCTACTACAACATTACCAATGCAGGATCCAATGTTTATTGACGTCAATGATGGGTTGTCACAAAACGCTTTCGAATAAAAGCATCTGAAATTGGAAACAAGAGCCATGTTAATATGGCCATCCCCCGCCGAATGTGTTTGCTCATTGGAACAATGTAGTAAAGCAGAATTCAATTTTAAGAGGTCTTTTGGTAATGAAAACTAATGACTGAAGTGATTACAGATTTGAAACATATGTGAATACTGATGGCTGAAAATAACAAAGGGCAATAACTGAAAAATAATGCAGGGGTAGGTTATCATTCTTATGTGTTGCACTTCTCCTCAATGAGATCTATCCATCTATTGAGAGTTTCAAGTTGATACCTTTAACACTTTTGAGATTTGCTCCGGACAAAAAGTATGAAAATTAACAAAGAGTAATAACTCAAAAATTATGAAGGGTAGAGTTATCACTATTGTGCATTTACATTGCACACCTCCTGAGTTGGATCTATCCACCTATGAAGTTTCATGTTGATATCTCAAAGGCTTTTTGAGTTAGGTTCTGGACAAAAAATAAGTTTGAAAAATAACAAAGGGCAATAACTGAAAAAATATGCAGGGTAGAGTTATCATTCTTGTGCACTGCACTCCTTCTCAATATGATCTATCCACCTATGAAGTTTCAAGTTGATACCTCAAATACTTTTTGAGATATGCTCCGGACAAAAAATGTCGGACGGAAGGACGGAGATTATTACTATATCCCCGCCGCCTTTTTGGTGGGGGATAAAATGCATAAGAAATGAATGTTTTTATTTGTAAAAGCAGTTATATAGCTTAGTCAAAACTGTTAACCAATTTGATCCACAAATTAAATTAATTCAATTTCATGACGTAAATTTATTTAACGCTGTGATATATTTACTTCTAAAAATAGAAATGTAAGGCAAGTGACTTAACAGTTCGTAAATCTTACTTGTTTAGATATAGGCGTTTGTCAGAACCACATATTGGTGAAGAATCCGTCGAGCATACGATGTTATCTTTCGTCAAACAGAATGCTCTAAGTAATGGGTCTTGGGTCGTTGTTGTGCCGACTTAGTGTAAGATAAAATAATATATTTAAAGATTTAACATGCATACTCTTTCTGATACTCTATCGGCCTTCGTGATTATATTCCTACACATTTGAACTCAACCCGTTGTCATTATTCTACAACAATGCAATCAAAATCAATTTCCTGAATAGATATTACTTAAAATATCTTATATATACTTTCATCCATTATTATCCTAATACATTCTGTATTTATTTAAATACGTCATAAATTGTCCCAGCGGCATATAAGAACAAAAGTTTTGACATATTGTAAATCTTACTTGTTGCGATACAGTCGTTTATCAGAACCGCATATTGGTGAATGTGAATCCGACGAGCAGACAATACTATCTTTGTTTAAGCAGAATGCATGAAAAATTGGGTCTTGGGTTGTGGCAACTAAATGTTAGACAAAACAATACTGAGTTATGTCAAATTTACTTGGTTGATTGTACAAGTACTAACATTCTTTAGAGACTTTGTAACAACTCTTCCGCAATAATATTGGAAATCATCATACTGGTGTAAGATAAGATTTGAAGCAGACGCAAATATTTCAAGGTAGTCTTACTGTAATGCTTTTCCGCCAAAAATATCTAACACTTGCCAATATCGTAGCAAATCGGTTATTTCCGGAACGTTACTTTTTAAAAAAAAAAATCTTTGGCATAAGATGACTTGAAAAAAGTCGCCCCGTACATTCAATCAGAGATGTTATATTTTCGATCCTTAAAGATCGTTCAGCACGACATTATTGTTGTGCTTGTGGTTATTTAGTTCTTTCCATTCGGCAATTTCTTGTTGGATGGTTCCACTATTCCTCACTTGAATACTGTTGAATCACCCTAAGGATATGTGGCCTGCTTTTTAAATTTGTCTTTTGACGTCTTATCTGTGATATGCAGGCTTCATAACCTCTGATCCCCTTTCAAATTTCCTTTTTATTTATTTCCGCTCATTGTTTTCTCGTTCAGGACACACGCATATTTTTACTTGGGGACCATATGCCGCTTTTCATGGAATGGCACTTACGTGTCACATTGAAGGTTCCATGATAACCGCCATATAAACACAGCTGCGGATGTTTCAAAATTCAAAATTGTACCAGTTTAATTTAATTGTTGAATTCTGCTTAAGCCGGTGCTAGGGGGCGTGGACGGTAGTTTGCACTTGACAGTACCGTCCATGAACAGGCTCAATCAAACCGAGCCTGCAACATGTACAATTTTGCCGTGTTGGGCTTTCTTTAGAGATTCTTATTTTCTCTATTTTACAATCACCCATCCTTTATCGCTATGTATTAAATTCTGGATATATACGTATATCTAAAGTTTGAATAATCAGCAAGGAATAGCTTTGCCTAGTCTTTCATCATCTGCGTTAAAATAAAGAGAACAATCAATGTTAATGTGACGATCTGTTGGAAATTTTAATATGGTCACAGATATTCACCATCATCGCGTTGGTCTCAAAGATAAAAGAGCAGGATGGCTCTGGCGTGGAAATCCTAGAAATGGTCATTTACTTCTAGCAGGTAAATGAGAAAACTTCTTTAACATATTGTGTCTTGTCTTCAAATCCTCAAAAAGAAAATAAAACTTGCCAGATGTAGTCGAAATTGTGGTGGTGAGAATACAAGCCCCTGTGTGTTTCGGCTGTAGAGTTTTATCATTGCATCTTGATTGGGAGTAGAAACACCTGTGATAAAACAACATTTATTCAAATCAAGAAGGACATGATAGCCCTGAATTGCATACAAGAAACAACTGTTTTCCAGTGATTATAGAAATGTTTTTTTTTCAAATAAACTTTTAGAAAGACAAGTCAAGCTCAACTTCATCTTGCCTCTCTAGTTATAAAGTTTCCTTCCCCAACACTGATTGTTTTTTATTCTTTACAGTAAATATGATAGGAAACATTAGATTGGTGATCAACAATCCATTAATTTGTGATAAAATTTGCCTATGACTGTCTCTTTTTTTACCTTTCTTAAAAATTAGATAATTACATAATCTCAGTATTTAGATATAGATATAGACTGTTTGTCAGGATGACACCACCGGTCAATATTTATTTAAGATTACATAGGTATACTAGTCAACATGACCAGAAAGTTCACGTTTTAGGTTGAATATTTTTACTCTCTGATAGAAAAAGGAAAAAAATTATAACTTTAACTACGTAGAGGAAAAAAGCAAAAGGTTGTTTTGATGAAATATATTCAGTGAACAAGAAAACTCTTTAAATAAACAACTTTACATACAGGGTGTAAAATTGATTTTGTATGAAACAGTGCAAAATTACTTTGAACAAGTGATAACTTAGTTTGCAAAATGTGATTCTGAATAGAAATAATTAAAACTGATACTAAAGAGCACAAATAATGAAATATGACAAATTACGTAATGACAAGCAAGAAAAACTGCTAAAGTTGACATGAGTTCACTTAAACTTAAGTTTTGTTCCTTAATGTAAAATGCTAAGTTACAAAGTTACAAGAGATTATAAAGTAAAATAAGATGAAAAATAATTTTAGCCATATCTACATGATTTATGAAATAAATTCAAGTTTATTAATATTTAACTTGCTAGTTTGAGTGTTTTTCTTTTGAAAAATTATTTGAATATTACTTAATGAAAAAAAAAACAACAAAAAAAACCCCCAAAAAACAAAAAAAAACTGAGATCAGGGAAAGTGGTTATGCAGCTGGAGAATACCAGTTCAGGATCAGGCTATTCTATATATTATTATTATATTCTCATACTATACAATACTGTAAGTGAGTCTCAGTGAAAAACAATCACCAATCTGTTATACAGTGACAATATCCCATGCACATGAAACATCAGGTTCAACAGTGTGTCCAAATATTTACTGAAATGTGGTTTCTCCAAGTTTGGATCCAATTGAACAAAACTTAAAAAGTTACAACAATTTTTTAACAAAATTCAATAGAAAAATTGAGCATGTTAGTAAGGTACTGAAAACAAATGTCATCTTTCTTAAGGCCTTATTTCATTTCCTTTGGAAAAAATCTCTACACTGACCCTGCAGAAAGATTTATAGAATGATGCAATATGGTGTCCAAATTCTAGAGGTGACAAGAACAGAAGATTGATTCATTTTTACCATTGCGTTTGTGAACACTAAATAGTTCAAGAAATAGATTTTATTCTATACAATTGAACTTTGCCATTGTGCAGAAGTGTCTAGTGAGGTCCTAATTTAGCATGTCAAATAAAAGACAATGTGTAGAGATGTATACTGTTCAGATACAAAGCACATAATCCGAAATCATTTCTTCAAGATCTTTGCAAGCAAGCAGCTCATGACATTAAGATTAAATCCTTTTTTTTTTTAGAAAAATTGCATAACATGTACACATGTATGGAAGACATTGTTTGTTTGTTTGATTGGATTTTACGTCACACCGATACAGTATAGGCAATTTTGGCGACGTTCCAGCTTTACTGGTGGAGGAGGACCGCAGGTGCCCTTCCGTGCATTATTTCAGGCACGAACACGCACCTGAGTGGAACCACCGACGTTCCGTAAGGTATGGAAGACATTCCAACATGAGTTCTTTCCCTTTCATTATTAAATTTGAAGAAATGCCATGGCCTGGGGCATTTTAGATTTAGCGGCTCTTAAAAGAGGCCAATCAAATTAATATGAGCAAACCTGGTAAAAGATAGCTTAAGATTCCTACAAAGTTTGGTGATCATCCATCAATTAGTCCTGTAGAAGGAGACGTAAAAAGATTTTTTCTATTTTTAGCTTTAGAGACCCCTAAAAGGGGCCAATCAAATTCATATGGGCAAATTTGATAACAGACTATCTAAGAATGCTACAGACAAAGTTTGGTGATAATACATCAATTAGTTCAGTACAAAAATGTTTTAAGTTTTTTTTTCTTTTTTTTAGCTTTAGTCCTAAAATGGGCAAGTCAAGTTAATATGAGCAAACTTGATAGAAGGCTACATAAGAATGCTATTGACAAAGTTTGGTGATCAACCATCAATAAGTTCAGTAGAAGAAGACGATTAAAGTTTTATTTTCTATTTTTAGCTTTAGCGGTCCCTAAAAGATTCCAATCAAATTAATATGAGCAAATTTGATTAAAATACTACCTTAGAATGCTACAGACAGAGTTCGGTGATCATCCATCAATCAATTCTGTAGAAGGAGACGTTTAAAGGTTTTTTTCTTTTTTAGCTTTAGCGGCTCCTAAAAGGGGCCAATCAAATCATATGAGCGAATTTGATAAAAGTAAGTGAACAAGTTTATTGGTGCACATTCCATTTTTCAATCAAATACATTACATGCTTACATGTTTTTATATGTAACACCGTCCGTTCCGTAAATCGTTTCATCTTGTGTGCCAGGTGTGTAAGAAACAGTACAATCCATTGTCATAATCTCTTGACACAGATTTGTAGTATTCGATATAGCGTTGACAATACCTAAAACTATTAAACATACATAAAATCAGAACATTGTTAACCAGATAAAATCGGAATTAGAAACTAAAATTTACATTAAAGATCCTGTATGTTGTAATTGAGGTTGTATAACACACTTAAGTGAAATTATGTATATGTATATAATTATGCTAATAAAACAAGTTTCAAACATCGAAGAATATGTAAAATATTTACTGCAAGTATTTGTACATATTATATGTTTTAAAATACATGCATTCATTTCTAATTAAAAAAATGACTTGGACTTTATAAAAAATATTTTTTTATTACCTCCCTTTATTTACATGAAATGTTAAATTCGGTTCTTTATAAGTAATGATTTTTGGAACTTACAAAATTGATCAATCTTAATTTGAACATTACATTTATGATATAAATAAAAAAAATGTGTTACATGATACATTTAAAAGTACTTATTTTCAGATATTACTAACATAATGTGTGCAAAAATATTCTAAGACAACATATTAACCGTAGTTACGATCAGGACATAACTCGTTTGCAGGTCACAATTTAGTAAATGTTGCTTACATTCATGAAAAGTAAAACCCACAAAGAAAACAAGTTGGTATTGTAACACATTTGATAGAGTATATTAAAACAGAAATATATTGGTGTAAAATGATAAATAAATAAATATAAAAACTGTTAGATATTTACATATATTGATTACGTACTAGTACTCACCAATGGTAAATAACAGAAACTTGATCATTGTATCCACTAAGCTATTTCCTATTGTTATTAAAATTGTTTAATTTTCATTCCAGTCATGTGACGTACTATTTTTCAGATGTGTGAAGTTGGCGGCCTAGCGGCCTGGCGGCCTGGCGGCGTGAAGTTGGCGGCCTAGCGGCCTGGCGGCGTGAAGTTGGCGGCCTAGCGGCCTGGCGGCCCAGCGGCGTGAAGTTGGCGGCCCAGCGGCCTAGCGGCGTGAAGTTGGCGGCCTAGCGGCCAAAAAATTTTAATGTTGTAAAAAATGTTTTTTTAACAATAAAACGGCATTTAATGAAGTTTTAAAGATAATTATTGTTATTTAAACGATATATCTAAAGAAAAAATCACTTTCAGAAATTATTTTAATTTTGTCATTTTTGTGAAGTTGGAGGCCCAGCGGCCTAGCGGCCTAGCGGCCCAAAATTTTATTGTTGTAAAAATGTTTTTTTTTAACAATAAAAACGACATTTAATGAAGTTTTAAAGATAATTATTGTTATTTAAACGATATATCTAAAGAAAAAATCACTTTCAGAAATTATTTTAATTTTGTCATTTTTGTGAAGTTGGCGGCCCAGCGGCCTAGCGGCCTAGCGGCCCAAAATTTTAATGTTGTAAAAATGTTTTTTTTTTAACAATAAAAACGGCATTTAATGAAGTTTTAAAGATAATTATTGTTATTTAAACGATATATCTAAAGAAAAAATCATTTTCAGAGATTTTTTTTAATTTTGTCATTTTTGTGAAGTTGGCGGCCCAGCGGCCTAGCGGTCTAGCGGCCCAAAATTTTAATGTTGTAAAAATGTTTTTTTTACAATAAAACGGCATTTAATGAAGTTTTAAAGATAATTATCGTTATCTAAACGATATATCTAAACAAAAAATCACTTTCAGAAATTATTTTAATTTTGTCATTTTTGTGAAGTTGGCGGCCCAGCGGCCTAGCGGCCCAAAATTTTTATGTTGTAAAAATGTTTTTTTTAACAATAAAACGGCATTTAATGAAGTTTTAAAGATAATTATTGTTATTTAAACGATATATCTAAAGAAAAAATCATTTTCAGAGATTTTTTTAATTTTGTCATTTTTGTGAAGTTGGCGGCCCAGCGGCCTAGCGGCCTAGCGGCCCAAAATTTTAATGTTGTAAAAATGTTTTTTTTAACAATAAAACGGCATTTAATGAAGTTTTAAAGATAATTATTGTTATTTAAACGATATATTGTTACGAGCCAGGCGTAACGAGAAAGAAAAGCCAGCAACAAACTTGTAACAATAACAAATTTATTACAGAAAAATTATTAAAAAAAAAATAAAATAACAAATTATCTTTACAAATACCTGAAGTCCAAATAAAAATTACAAATGTCTAGTCTGATCCTGGAATGATCCTTTTTTAATAGCACAGTTAAATCCAAGTTAAATCCAAGAACACTTTAGAATAAATTCCCCACAATAAAATCCACAAGAATAATTAATAATCCAAGCTCCAATAAATCACTTAATTTCCAAGTTGAATAATACTCCAAATATACTGATTTTTAAAAAGACACTGATATTTAAAAAAGGAAAAATTTGATTCTTAAAAAAAATAAGTTTTAATAAAAAATGTCCCCTTTTATATATTTTAAAACAAGGGAATTTTTCCAAAAAGGTCTATTTTTATCAAGAAATATAATTAGCCTTAAACAAAAAAAACCCATTCCAAAAGGGGTTTCTAATCAAAATTTTCCATGATTTTTTCTAAAAATTAAAAAACCTTCAAGAAATTACTTTTTATTTTTTGTTTTTTTAAAAATAGAAAAATAATATTGGAAATTTTCCCCAAACGGGTTTCAATAAAAAAATTTATATTTTTAAAAATATTTTCTTTAACTTTAACATTTCCCCCTTTTAAAGAAAAAAAAAATATGAATAAAAGGGAATTTATTTTTTTACAAAAAATTTAAAAACAATGTAATTTACAAAAAAAGGGGGAAAAAAGTAAAAAAATTTTATAATTCAATATTTG